GAAGAAAAGAGGAAAACTTCCTGCCTCCCTTTCTCACTCTCCTCTCTTGCCACCCTCCACTCCCTTGCCCAGAGGAATAGATGAGGAGAGGCACAAGGCGCTGCCTCATCTTCGGCTGTGACATAAATACTGCAGCCACATTCCATCTCCACATCAGCCCGTCGTCCTACCAGGGACAGTAGGTTGCTCTATATAACTCCAGGAAGGCCTAGCAAGGATCTTGCCAAGTTCCTTTAATTGATAGCAACAAATCGTTAAGAACCCAAGAAGGCAACGTAGACAGAAGGAATTTAGTACTCTGGTGCTAGCTACCCCTTACCCAAATCCATTTTTTATCCTCAGTGATAAATGGCACTTGAGGAGTTTGACTGCTATCATTTCTGTCTGCTCATGAGGCCGTCATCAAAACCCTGACTCAGGGTTAAATGTCCTTGTACACCTATTGTGTTCCTAGTATGCCATCACTATCCTCATTTGGGGTCATAGGAGTTGTAAAGATACAGTTCCTAAATCAAAATCTAATTTCCCATTTTTTAATATATTTCTATTCTGCCTCTCAGTTTATGAAAGTATTTTCTAGCTAGACTCCTCTGCATAGCCCTTGCTTCCAATAATAGGACAAACTAAAAGTAATAGCACACTACTTAGTGAGTTCACGCACCACCATAAGTTACAATACATGTGCATTGGCATTTCATTCTATCTTGTTCAGCAAATTATAGCTATAATAGCAAGTATGAAACCTTCCAATTATAGCAAAGTTTAAGAAAATATCATGTTCCCAGAAGAATGGTTGAAATATAAATGTTCACATTTATTACCTCTTGATTTTACTCCATAAGACTTTGGAAACAAAGAAACCATATAAAATTTAAAAAGCTAAAATATAAAATTTATTTGACAAAAAATTATCTGCTGCTTAATTCTTAACTAATTTAGTAAAGTTAGGCTTTTCAAAGTTGTTCTTAGCAAGTTATTTTACAAGCTTTTAAAAATAACATGATTTTCTAATTTTTTTTTTGTGAAACTTGTGTTTCACATCATATATAATCAGAAACTATATATACAAATCAAGAGCAGTGGCTGCCAGTTCTCCTTTCCCCAACTTTGGCATCTATACTGTGAGAAATAACCATGTCCTCCCACAATTCAAAACCACTCTATGTCTCATACATAAAGTTAGTGTTGCCTTTATGAACACTTGTCAAGTAATCTTTGAAGATAAATTGCCAAAATGAATTTGGCAGTTCCAGTCCAGGAAAACCCCAATGCGCATGTCTTTCTTCAGCCATTGCTATTAGATGACTATAAATGTTCTGTATGGTCCGACATCCCATTTACTTTTTATTGAGTCACACTGACCTTTTGATCTGTGGCTGAATCGTGGACTAGCAATTTTTTTAAGACAAGAAAAGCAGGAAATCACATCCTGCTGTTATGAGTAACTTTGTTTTAGCCCACCCACAACTTCACTTACAAGTCCAGTTGGAAGCACATGCTGGATTTTGAGCCAAGGCATATATGAAATATAGAATGCTTGGCGTTCCATTGCCTAAACAAAATCACTAAACTAAAAAAAGCTGATACCAAGACTAAAATGCAGTGGTCCAGGACACTATGTTCTCTCTGTTTGGTATAAATTTTCTGACATGCAGCCTGTAATTATTCATCATACTAAGCCATAATTTCTAACTTAGTGTCATTTTAACCCAAGTGCGATTTGACAAATCATAGTTAAAATAAGCCATGGTTTAGTGTGATGTGTGGATCTAGCCACAATGTTACTCAAGGCCATCAGTCTGATGACACCAAAGAAAAGGCTAGTCAAAGTGTGTTTTACAAATTGACAGTATTCTACCCAACTTTAAGCTTTAGAAGAAGGAACATCAGCAAAGTCAATAAGCAATCAAAGATCCTTCAGATTTTCTCACAACAGAATTCAGGGATAATCATAGCTGAAAGGACAGCTACTTTATAACATAGTTTATGCATCACAGTAAACCAGAAGTGCAGAATCTAAAGCCCCGAAGCATTTACCCAGTGTTTTTGAACATTGTTACTAAATTGTTAATCTTTCATATGATCAGAGGGAAGACTTGACCATACAGGGAGTAACAATATTTATTTAAAATTAAATTAAATGGAATCAAAATTAGATTTTATTCTGACTGCATCTACTGTTTTTTGGGAATATGGCCCCCAGCATACTCCACTCAAAATCAAGAGCAGTCCTAAACTCAGGAAAACTTTGGCATATCCATGTATTCACCTATAATGGGTAAGTTCACATCATGCCTCACACAAAGGCAAATTTGCCTGACAATTTAGTTTTACCCCTGAACCACTCAAAGATAGTTAAGCAAGAAATGGGAGTAAGATACATTTTAAATGGGAAACTCCTATTTTGTATAGCTCTATAACTCTTCTTTACAGATGCAGAAGTAAAAATATGCTCTTGAAAGTCCCTTAAGAAAAATTGTACATTGTGCATAGCAAAGATGGTGGTGATGATCTAAACTTGTTTAGATCTGTCACTATATTCACATTATATAAAACTTAGTACCAATGAAGGAGAAAACTTAGTGCATTTATTAAGCTGCCTCACATTTCTTCTTCTGTCCTGTCAGATGTACTCCCTGAAGTACAAGGCATCAGGAAGCACATAGTGCAACAAAAAGAAAATGTACAAGGAACATATTCTGAGGCACAGAAACCAAACATGATGAGCTCAAATTGTGGATTGTAGTTTGCTTCTTTAGCAATTTAATTAGATTTACATTGTCTTTCTTCTTGGAGCTCATAGTGGTGTATGTAACATTCGCTCCTCCTATTTTTCTTTATAACACCCACCCTAGGAGACAGTTTGGGCTACACCAACACTTGAACCACTGCACTACAGTGACTCTTAAATACACAACTATCTAAGGTTTGCCCCAACTATTATTAGTGGAAATACACTGCTGGACCATACAGCATATTCATTCATATGGTTTGGTTGACTTTGTCTTAACACGTTGCTTGTTGTCCAGCCTATTGTGATTATTCCGGTCATGCCTTAACAATGCCTAAAACAAGTCAGAAAGATTTAGTTCCCCCACCACATTAACCCACTAAACAGTTTGCTTGGTTCCTTTCTATATGTTGTGTGAAATCAACTACAAATATGTGTCTAGCCCAGCATGTGAAGCCAATCAGTTTTTTGTTATTCAACCAACCATGACTAAATTAAGTCTAGCTTAGAGCAATTGGTGAATTCGGTGTCTTTTCTCTCTGGCAAATACTCTTTAGGAGAGGGCACCAAAATAGATTTTTACGAAACCGACAAACAGTAAGAAAACCCTTCTCTTAGATCAGGGGTCTTCAAAACTTAGCCTTTTCATTATAACTTGTGGACTTCAACTCCCAGAATTCCTCAGCCAGTACGCTGGCTGAAGAATTCTGGGAGTTGAAGTCCAAAAGTCATAAAAGGGCCAAGTTTGAATACCCCTGGTCTTAGATCCTTCACCATATTAGTGAAACAACACTAATGGTAACATACGAGCCACTAACAAGTCTTCTTAAAAAGGTCTTCTGGAAAAAGGTGCCTTGCTTAGCCAGGAAGTAGGAAAGGACCTGGTTTAGGATTTGAGAGCCAAAATAGCCTCAGGTACTAGTTTCTCAGCTCCTGGATGAGGGATAAAACCAGCTGATACCCTCACTGCACTATTTTAGGCCTGGCTCAGCGTTTTATTTCCGAAGGAAAATCGAGATTATATACATTCAAATCATTACGATCATCTCCGCTTGTAGAAGTCCGATATGGATAGGCCAGGGGTAGGCTCTCAGTTAACCAGAGCCGGCTTCTGAGGGGAGGGAGGGGAGCTTGGCGGGCTCTTTCCCCGCCAGCACAAAACTCCGCGATATTTACGGAGCAATCGTTGGGGTTGACCACGCTAAGATTATCGGCAAGAGACAGCCTTACGGGAAAACTAACAAAAGCCCAAAGCTGAAAATCCACAACCACGAGCCTTCGACAGTGTGTCATCCCACCCCCACCCACCCCCCGCCGCGGGGCAAACGTGTGAACCAAGCGTTTGTGTTGCCCCCACGGGCTGAGCGCGCTCCACCCAGCCAGCTCGCTGAAGCTCGTGGCTTTGCGGTGTCTTGGGACATTCCCAGCCCCAAAACATCGCCCCCTTCCTTGTTTGGCTGGAAATTGACAAGAGTCCAGGGGCCTTTGCCTGGCAACGTGGGCGGGGGTTCCCGGAATGGAGCCCGACCGGCAGAAACGTCACGAGGCAGAAACGGCCCATATATGGCCATCTTCCCCTGCGTCAGGAGGACGACCCCCCCCCTCCCGCCTGGGCCCCGGAGGCTCCGCCCACTGGAGCTTGGAAGTCAGAACTTGCGAGATCAAGGAAGCGAAGCGAGGCGTGTGGGAGGCCCAGCCCTGGGGCCCTTAGGCGCGCCCCCTCCCTTTCCCGTCCCTGACTCCAACAGGCTTTCTAAGCACCGGAGCTTTAAGCAATCCAAGCTGAGAGTCTGACATCAAAGGGAAAAACTGGGAGGGGGGAAGGGAACCGGCTCCGAAAACCTCGGGGGAATGACGCGCGGCGGAGGGGGGGCATCGCAGGCAAGAGCGTCGCAGCCCAGGCAGAGAAGAAGGTACCATGCCGGGGGGGGGGGGAAATGAGGAAAGGAAAGCGAGCAAGAGAGGAAACGCGGTGAATTCCACCGGGCACATGACGGCCGGTCTAATTAGGTTTATCCTAACAGGCCCCATTAGGAAGAATAAACATCCACCGGAAGGGTTAACGACCAGGTACTGCCATCAGGGCGTTCCAGAAATTAAATCTTCCCCCATTATCTACGTTTGATAGCTTTTCCGAGGTATTGTTAGCGATTAAGTAGGTCGTGTCCGTGCCTGTAGAGAAATCCACAAAATACTTTAAAAAAAAAAAAAAAAAAAGGTAAAGGAGTTGGCGGTTAAGTTGTGGCATATGAAAAGAGGCACACGTAATAAAGTAGTTCGAACATGTTTACTTAAATAATTTCAATAAAAAGTCAAAACACACAAATACAATCATGGGGGGTGAACTTGAGGACTCAAAAGTATTAAAAGCGCTAGTAAACAAACCCACTTCCCCTTCTTGGCCCCTTTGTCCACGCAATGGCCTCTTGGGGGGAAGAGAGAGGCTGAGATTCCATTACATCCCTGTCTAAACTCTGTCCTGGTCCCTTTTCTTTCAGTTATAAATTAATTTAAGTCCATTTCTTTTCCTACTGGCATGAAGGAAACCAAAAGGCCAGTTTTCTGGACTCCGTCTCGAGTACCTCCAGTTCCGCTGCACCATCCAGCGATGCAGCCGAGAGCAAGAGAGCGAGAGCAACGCGTTTCTTTTAAATACACACACATACGAAATCACGCTCACTGACAGCTATAAAAAAAAAAAAAACTTGTACACACTCAGCACAGATCGAAGTTCTGGATCCACCAGACTGAGTCACAGACGTTAACTAGGAAACACGGACTTGGGAACAGAGACGCAGAACGTCAGTCCGGCTCCGTGTAAACTTTTGCGTGACAAGTCCACTTCTCTTCCTCACGGCGGAAAAAAAAGTCTTTTGAGATGACGGCGATCTGCCCGGTGCCTCACCGCATCAGAAGGACTGCTGCATCTTGGTCGTCAAGAGGAGCTGGCAGCCGTTGTTCACGTGGTTCATTACTTTCTGCTTCAGCTGCGCTACCTGGTCTCGGAGCGCGCTGGCAGTGTTAGACAGTCCCGCGTTCTCGTTCTTTAAGCTCTTCACCTTGTCCTCCAGCCGAGCGATGCGCTCCAGCTTCCTCTTCCGGCATTTGGTGGCGGCCAGGCGGTTGCGCAGCCGCTTCCTCTCCACCTTGATGCGCTCCTGATCTTCCATGTTAATGGGAGACACGGGCGGGCTTTGCACATCCGGCACAGTCTGGGGCTCCTCTTTGAAGCCCCGCGCGGGGTGGGGCAAAGCTAGGCCGTGAGGCTGCGGCATGTAGCTCAGGTTGGCACTGGGGAAGCTGGACGTAGTACTCAGGGAGCCGGTGGGGTTGTAGCTGGTCAAGTTGGTGTAGATCGGAGGCGGCTCCTGGGGAAGGGAAGCACCATAGCCGCTACTGGCCGACGAAGCTGCTACCGCGGCCCCGATCGAAACATTGGGGGGCGGCATGTGGTTCATCTTATGGAGATCGTCCAGCGCCTTGACGAAGCCGTCAGCGAAGCCTTCCTGCTCTTCGGTGGCTCCCCGCGGGTAGTAGTATTGTCCCGGGGGCGTGGGAGTGGTGGTGATCACGCCGTTGCTGTTCTGAACTATAAGGCGCTCCAACTCCGGGGCAGCCAGCTTAAGCGAGGAGCTCGCCGTTTCAGCCGACTGTTGCTGAAGCGAGCCCGGAAAGTAGCCAGCGGGGCTGTCTTCTTGGCCGCGGAGGTGATGGGGAAGCTGGGACTTCAGGCCGCGGAACGGCTCGGCCGACAGGTTCAAAGCCATGCCCGACTTCAGCGCCTTGTAGTCCTGGCTGTAGCCGGAGAAAAAGGAGTCAGGGTAGAAAAGCTGCTCCATCTTCGTGCACATCAGCCGCGCGCTGGGAGGAGGGGGTGGACACCCGGGCTAGGACCGTCCGAGATGGCTCGGGGCTCACAGGAAAGGCCTTCTCTATCTGCCTGCCTGGGGCGTGGATCGACTTCTTCTCCCAACGCGAGGCGAGCGCGCTTCCGCCTCCCTCCCAAGCTTCACTTCCAGATTTCAGAGCGAGACAGACAGAAGAGGGGGGGAAGAAAAGCTGGTCTTTCCGGCGGCTTCTCCAACCACCCGCCCTGACTAAGCTCCGCTAGCGAGGATGATTCACGCTTGTCCCCCACTGAAGGCAAGCCCACGGGACGAGCGTTCCGGCTTCAAGCCCTCCCCGAGAAGCAAAAGGAGCAGGTACCGTACCGGCCAAGGGAGAGCCTCCAGCGCGCTGGTGCCAATTGTGAATTATCTGGGCTGCAGCGTGCGTTTCCCGGCGCCTTTTATTCTGGCGGTGCCCGCGGTGTTGGCGGAAGGGCGCCGTCATTGGCTGGAGAGCGGAGCGCCTCCGCCCACCGCAGCTCACGCGAAAGGGGAACTGAGCTCATTGCTCGGCAGCTCGTGCTCCAGTAAACAGCCCGCGGGGCGGCGGGGGGGGGGAGGAAAGGGAGGGAGGGAGGGGGTTGGAAGACAGCGCGTCAGAGTAACGGGATGGGCGGGAGAGCGAGGGAACCGGGAGCGAAAGCAGGAAAAGGGCGCAGCCGCGGCGAGGGCGAGGGGCGGCCGTGCGAGCAAAGGCACGCATGAAGCGGAGACGCGGGAGAGGTTGGTGCGTGACGTCCTTTGCGTTGGGGAATAAGCCTCCCTGAATTTAGCGCCGCTTATTTCTAAGCAAGCACGGGCATTGTAACCCGAGAGGTAATAGGGGCGGAGGATGGGCTTTCTTTCCCTTTTTTTTTTGAACAGAATTCCCGAGAGGCGCCGTGGTCGTGCCTTGGCGGCCGGCTGGGTATTAGTTTGGCATTGAGTACCTCCTACCTAGAGGTTTTAAGTTGGCTGTGTGATCTTTGGCATATCACTCCTTCAGCCTAGACAACCTCAGGGAGTTATTATAAGGAGAAAAGTAAATAACGCTCATAAGGCAGGCAGCCAACCAGCCAGCCAGCCAGCCTTTCTTGGAAGAAAGGTGACAGATCAGTACTGGTTGGTTTTTTTTTTTTAATGCATTCAAAGGCAGATCAGTTTTATTCTCTAACCGCCAAAAACCCAATCTGATTTTTCAGGATTACAAGAGTTTCCAGGGTTAGTAAATATCAGGGAAGCAGTTCTTTGAAAGAGCTGCCTCTGTGAAGATAACATGGTTCATCAATTCTAGAAATGCCTTCCGAGTAAATATTTTGTAATGAATCAGACTGTATCAAGAGGCAAATTTAAACGACAGTTATACCCAACCTCTGATCTAAATGTCCTCTCCTATATGAAAATTTAACTGGACACAAACAGTTCAGCCAGCATACTGAGAAATAAATGTTTACTCTGAGATGCATTCAAACGTTATGTACAAATGTCATAAAATATGTAGAAATAATCCCATGTCAAATACATAAATTGAAATCAGAAACCACAGACAAATACCACTTGAAGGCACAGCTCAGACATAAGTTACACCCTGCCATATTCAAAATAAACACAGATGAACAACATAGAGAGATCTGCATACCACATTAAGATTCCATAGAAGGAAAAGAAGAAAACATGCCTAAGATCATAATGTACACAAGAAAGCTTAGATTTTTTTTAACATGTACCTGAAGTGATCATTAAGATGAAAATGGCTAGGAGTGGATATTACTACAGTTATCTTAACTGCTTGCAATAGCAGGGAATAAGAATTAAGGGGTTAAGCTAAAACTTCCACACACTCAAGAATATTGAGGGAGAAGACACATACAAGAATCTTCAAAATACAGACCTGTATCCGTTCTGATCTAGCCTAGTCACCTACAGCTGGATATACAAAATAGAAAGCCATACTCAATCCCGGTATCTACTGAGAGGGTCATCTTTTTCTTCTAATCACAAGTATGTACAGGTAGTCCTCGATTTACAACAGTTTATTTAGTTACCATTCAAAGTTATAACAGCACAGAAAATAGTGACTTATGACCATTTTTCATACTTACGACTTGCAACATCCCCATGGTCATGTGATCAAAATTCAGACACTTGGCAACTGACTTATATTTATGGTGGTTGCAGTATCCCAGGGTCATGTGACCACCTTTTGTGAACTTCTCATAAGCAAAGTCAATGGGGAAGCCAGAGTCACTTAACAGCCATGTTAGTAACTTAACAACTGCAATGACTCACTTAACTGTGGCAAGAAAGATCATAAAATGGAGCAAAATTCACTTAACCACTGTCTTGCTATGCAACAGAAATTTTGGGCTCAATTATCGTAATTATTCTCTCTTGCTTTTTACATATAGACGTGTGTCTCTGTGTGTATGTAGGTGTGTATATGCATATACATAGACATGTAGATAGCCACATAAAAAAGAAGTATTTTGAGGAAACCCCATATTAAATATATTCTCCATTAACACAATAACAAATTTGTCTCCCAAATCACTGGAAGCACTAATGATGAGTCTAACGCTTAAATATTTTGGACACATAAAGAAGACAACAGACACTGGAGAAGCCCCCCGATGCTTGGAAAAATAAAGACAATAAAAAAGAGGCGTCAGAAAGACAGAGAGCTAGGCACTATCACCAATTTCATAAATATAAGCTTACACAAACTCAAACAATCCTTGCAAAATTATATCCGCTGGGTTATAAAAATTAGAAAAAAAATGGCTAATAATAAGGATTAGGTCTAATTATAAGTTGATCAAGAAATTAGAGAGCTCTGTCTAGCCAGAAAATTAGAAAAAGCATCCAGCATCCACTTCTGTACTACTATTAAGAATGAAACTACTTCCATATTGTTATCAAGAAAACTACATGAGGTATCTTATGTAGTCTCTAGAGTGGACCTCAACTCAAGCAAATTTTGACTTGATTTTTAAAAATTAGAGATGATGGGGATCAAGCTTTTTTAAATGAGCTTCATCCCACCCCATGATATAAAAGGATCAGTAATTATTATTCAGTGGTGACTAAAAAGCTCTTTAAACATATACAAGTTTTTCTGACAAACTTAGAATACAGGTAGTCCTTGACTTACAACTGTTTGTTTAGTGACCATTCAAAGTTACAACAGCACGAAAAAAAATGTGACTTATGACCGTTTTTCAAAGTTACGACCTTTGCAGCATCCCTATGATCATGTGATCAAAATTTGGATGCTTGGAAACTGGTTCATATTTATGACGTTTGCAGTGTCCCCGGGGTCATGTGATCACCTTTTGTGACCTGACAAGAAAAGTCAATGGGGAAGCCAGTTTCACTTAAAAACCGGGCTACTAACTTATCAACTGCAGTGATTCACTTAACAACTGTGGCAAGAAAAGTTGTAAAATGGGGCAAACACTTAACAAATGTCTCACTTAACAGAAATTTTGGGCTCAATTGTGGTGGTACGTCAAGGACTATCTATACATTTAGTGTAGGGCAGACGTTTATGGACTAAAGCACTGGCAAATTTTGACTCCCATTGAGTTTAAATCCCCAAACACAAAAACAAAGAAGCCTAAAGTTAATGTGAGGCATAGCGATTTCTTTTAGGCCAAAGAACTCTGGTATTAACAAATGGGAAAGGGAAAGGACAGGGAGAGAAAAGATGGATCCACCTACCTGGACTCTGGTTACACCCACCTCTTGTATAGAGATTTCAACAGATTACACCCATAAGAATGAGGCTCTCGGCAGAAAAACGATACTGTGCCATGGCCTAGAAGCAATTTCCTTATGTTGAGATAACCCTACTCCTGTCCACAGGGATTCTTTTCGAAGTGACAGTTAAAATATATGCAGAAGTATTGAAATGCCGGAGCATACTCTAAATTGTGTGGAACTAAATAGCATGCAGAGGGGAGGAAAGAGAGGGCAGAATTGAAGGGAAGGGGAAGCAACCCTCACAGATGGTGTTGCAAAAACGCATAACTCATAAGTGATGAAAGGAGGTGTTCCAGATAGACAAACACTGTAGGCTCTATCAGGCTAGAACAAGAGCCAGCCTTAGATTTTGTTCTCTTTCCTAGTACCATAGCAGGAAGTGCCAGCCTCTGGCGTTGCCATTTAATCGTTACCTTTGTTTGCCTGCTTAACCCAGGCATCAGGCAAGAGGGTGAAGGTTAAGGTGCGGCAGGGTGTGGCAGGGAACGCTCCCTTCTATGGCAAGCATCTAAAAGGTACCCAACCTTGCAGAGCTTGCATAATAGAGGGGAGAGAGAAGGAGAGAGAGGGAGGGAGGGAGGGAGGGAGGGAGGGAGAAAGAGAGGGAGACAGGGAGAGAAGGAGAGAGAGGGAGGGAGGGAAGGAGAGAGGGAGAGGGAGGAAGGACAGGGAGAGAGGGCGGCAGGGAGAGGGAGGGACAGAGGGAGGGAGGGAGAAAGAGGGAGACAGGGAGAGAAGGAGAGGGAGGGAGGGAAGGAGAGGGAGAGGGAGGAAGGACAGAGAGAGAGGGAGGCAGGGAGAGGGAGGGAGAGAGGGAGGGAGAGAGAGAGGGGGGTATACAAAATAAATTTTGCACTGAAGCAGCTTAGCAATAGAAGTTGATCCATCCAAATGAGCTTTGTAAAGCAGTACACCTTTCTTTTGCAAGAAAATGGGCAACTATATAAATTTTATTAATAAAAAAATACAAATGTTAAGGTTGATGAAGTTATTTTTTTAAAAAAAACCATCATTTGAAATGTAAAATAAAAAGTAAGCAGGAATGTCAGTTTGTGGATTTGGATTAAACCTTATGCGTATTTATAGAGATTATTTTATTTCTATTTATTTATTCATTCATTCATTCAATTTCTATAGCTGCCCATCCCAGTCAATGACACAGGGTGGCTTACAATTAAAAGAATTGAGCCCAAATTTTCTGTTGCTAAGTGAGACAGTTGTTAAGTGAGTTTTGCCCCATTTTTTGACCTTTCTTGCCATCGTTGTTAAGTGAATCATTGCAGCTGTTAAATTAGTAACGTGGTGCTAAGTAAATCTGGCTTCTCCATTGACTTTCCTTGTCAGAAGATCGCCAAAGGGGATCACATGACCCAGGAACACTGCCACTGTCATAAATATGAGTCAGTTGCCAAGCATCTGTATTTTGATCATGTGACCATGAGGAGATTACAACAATCGTGTGAAAAACGGTCACTCTCTTTTTTCAGTGCTGTTGTAATTTTGAACCATCACTAAATGAACAAGGACTATCTGTATTACACTTAAAACACTAAAACATTTTAAAATAATAAAAAATACATTGATTTTGTTGCTATTTGTCATGTAAAGCACAA